GAAGGAAGGAGAGCTTCATATGTGTATAGACCATAGGGGTTTGAATGCGATTACAGTGAAGAATGTTGAGCCGCTGCCCAGGATAGACGATCTCTTAGATCGGGTGCAGGGATGTAAGTATTTTTCTAAGATAGATTTGAAGTCCGGATATCATCAGATAGAGGTTCATCCTGATGACCACTACAAGACTGCCTTCCAGACTAGATATGGGAACTATGAGTTTATAGTCATGCCCTTTGGACTGACGAACGCGCCACCTATGTTTCAACGTTATATGAACGATCTGTTTAGACCATGGTTAGATAAATTTGTTGTAGTGTACTTAGATGACATTTTAGTTTTCAGCAAGACCATCCAAGAGCATCAGGGTCATTTGAGACAGACCTTGGAGAAGCGCAGAGAGGCTAACTTCAAGATCAACGTGAAGAAGTGCGGAAGGGCCAAGACACAAGTCCTGTACTTGGGCCACGTATTAGACGGAGATGGCATCAAGCCTGAGTACAGTAAGATAGCTGTGATTAGAGATTGGACGACGCCCCGCACATTGACAGAGTTGCGGTCGTTCTTAGGCCTAGCTAACTACTATAGAAAGTTCATGAGGAACTTTTGTACTATCGCCGCTCCCTTGCGAAGCAATCTGGCAATGGGACAAAGATTGTACGTTTGCGCTAAAGAGACTGAAGCGCGTGTTAATAGAGTACCCTGTCCTCAAAGTAGTTGATCCGTCTTTGCCATTTGTCATCACCACGGACGCAAGTCAGTATGGTATAGGCGCCGTGTTACAGCAGGATGACGGCAATGGCTACAGACCCGTAGAGCTCATATCAACGAGGATGCCTTCAGAGAAGGTAGCTACCTCGACATACGAGAGAGAATTCTACGCTCTCAGGCAGGCTTTAGAGCATTGGAAGCATTACCTGCTTGGGAGGCACTTTAAAGTGTAGTCAGACCGCGAAACGCTTCAATGGCTAGAGACCCAGGCCAAGATGACACCTAAGTTGACTAGGTGGGCCGCTGAAATAGACCAATATGACTTTGAGCTCAAGCCGGTCAAAGGCAAGTATAACGTAGTTGCGGATGCTCTGAGTAGAAGGTCAGATTACTTTGGAGCTATAGTACATTATTTGGATATAGGGAGAGACCTGCAAGAGAAAGTTAGACAAGCATATGCGCAGGACCCTATTTATAGTGACCTCCTCAAGAGAGTAAAGGAGGCCCCAGAGACTGAGCCAGATTACCGCACTACAGAGGGTCTACTATTCGAGAAGACTAATGTGTTCGATCGCCTGTGCGTTCCCAACAACGAGGAGATTCGTAGTCTGATCTTAGGGGAATGCCACGATACAGAGGGACATTGCGGTTGGCAGAAGACCTTAGCCAATTTGATGCGTGCGTATACCTGGCCAGGAATGAAAGTTGACTGCATACAATATGTTCGCAGTTGTAAAGTTTGCCAGCGAAACAAGACCGCTACGCGTGCCCCTCTAGGTCTTCTCAGACCCTTGCCCATTCCAGACTAGCCGGGAGACTCAATCTCCATTGACTTTATGGATGCCGGTGTCAAAAGTAGACACGGCCAGAGCCAAGTCATGGTCATAGTTGACCGCCTTAGCAAGTATGCTGTTTTTGTTCCCTTGCCTGCAGAGGCACGTACAAATTTAGTTATATGAAATATGTTTGATTTTTGGGTTAGTGAGAATGGAGTCCCGTTGTCAATAGTTAGCGATAGAGATAGTCGCTTCACCAGCAAGAACTGGCAAGAACTCATGTGAGTTTATGGATCTAAGTTATTGATGTCGTCTGGCCGCCACCCTGAGACCAACGGTCGGACCGAGCAAATGAACAAGATCCTACAGCAAGTTCTGCGCATGTACATTAGACCCGATCAGATCAATTGGGACGAGATGTTACCTAAGGTAGCTAGTGTGTACAATAACAACGTGCATCTGTCCACCTGTCGCACTCCAAATGAGTTGCACAAGTCCTTTAGACCGCGCATACCATTCGAAGGGCTGAACCGGGGTCAGATCCACAGGTTACTGCCCGGTACCAGGGAGTTTGCAATACAGCACGAGAAAGAATTAGCTGTCGTTGTTGAAAACCTCAGGAAGGCCCAACACAGAATGATAGAACAGGCCAATAAGCACTGTCGCCCATCGCAGTTCCAGGTAGGCGACTTAGTCTGGGTCAAGTCCAAAGAATTTGCACCTGAGGAGAACATCTCACAGAAGTTACTGCCTGCATATACAGGACCATGGCCGGTTCTAGAAGTCAAGGGCGAAGAGGATGGACCGTCCTACACTGTAGAGATTCCAGCGCACCTCCACACTTATCCTGTATTTCATGCCTCAAAGTTGTTGTCGTGTGTCACAAGTCAACAATTTCCTTCAAGAAGATCCATGAACCCCCCGGATATGGACGGAAGTTATGACATTGACGGTATTGTAGATGAGGATGTGTTCAGAACAGGAGGTAGAGGTCGTCCCCAGAAACAGTATAAGGTCCGGTTTGCTTATCAGGAACCGGAAGACGACCGCTGGTTTACAAGGACAGAACTTCTAGAAACAGCTCCCGACATAGTCAGATCCTATGAACGTGATAAGAAGGGTAAAGGTCCTTCCTTGGACTGAAATATTCTCGGAGGACCTCGAATTTAGGACGGCGGGAGTGAAACGGTTTTCACCTCTTTGCAGTAGCAGACGCAGATCCCAGGGTTCGATCCCTAGACCTTGCCCTACCTGTGTACAGTACCTGTGTTGACCCCGAGAGTTGAACCTGTGGCCTGTGTATTCGTAAACAGTTGATAGGTTGTCATAGGTCCGTAGGTACCAGGGGTTCGCTCTGTAGACCTGTAGGATAGAAGTCTTAGCGAAGTCTAAAAGTCCTAGCTATAGCCTTCTAGATGGTCAGCAAGTGGGCAAGTGGTGAGTCAAGTGGTGGACTAAACTGCAGTGCAATTGCAATACGACGGTGGTAGGTTAGCATTGAGTCCCCACTCAGTCAGCGGTAAGGTCCAGTCAGCCCCAGTCCGGTCCAGCAAGTACCACAAGGGACTGTGAGCACCATGGGCCGATGGAAGAGGGCAGACCAACAAGTTTCATAAGTATAAATCAAGAGGCAGCACCCAGCCTTTCATTCATTCCTGCGTGAGCCATGCGGAAGTGCTGCCACAACGACTTGTGCAAGGAGGTCTGCAATGAGCCCGGAGCAGAAGTGGGCGAGAGAGAAGGAGTGTAGCATAGCGATAGGGTAGTTGTGGCCATAGCCGTCATAGCTAGAGTTAGTGTGTAGCGAGTGTGAGTGTGTGTGTGAGTTCAGAGAGTCGCGTGTGGGATATCCAGGGTGATCCGGTGTATGTGAACAATGAGTTGTTTGGGCGCTGAGTCGCAATAGCCAGTTGAAAACGAACTCGTATCCAGATGTCATATCTCTGAGTTTTGAGTGGCTGCATGTCGCCAGTTTGCTACGCTACTGTTTACATGCATGAAAAGTGTGAATGAAAGTGAGTCTGATTCAGCCCCTTTTGGAAGTGAGCCAAGGAAGATGAGCAATAGCGAACTTCAGCAATCAAACAACACCATACATATGAGTCCAGATAGTCTCGACCTCGAACCAACAGCAGAATTGCATCACGAGATTCACCAAATAAGAACACACCAAGAGTTCATAATTGACGATGCTGAAATAGTCCCATCATCATCAACGAAGAACCAGAGTTGATATCCTATCTGGCGCTCGGCGCCCAGACTACATGTGGCAGATCCTATCTAGCCTATACTACGAAGCCGAAAGATGACGTCAACAGCATTCCCGAAGTACGAGCATATGGCGACCAATGTCGCACGCTTCCAGCACCAGGTATGTCTCGCACTACACTCACAACCTCGTTCCCCAACTCACAGATGCCACTAGCACCCAACGACCACCCTGCGCCTCACCCAGCTTACAGCAGCGCAGCTCGGCTATGGCTGCGTGCTCCTTCCCTGCTCGCCCGTGAGAGCGTAGGCGCCAGCCAGCAAATAGCGCAGCAGTGCTTGCGCAGCATGCAGCCAGCACCCGAATGTCGAATGAGGAGGCAGGCCCTTCGCTATATCGAAGTAGCCTGCCTGCGTCCAGTCCCAGGAAGCTTCCAGTAGGCCCCGGTAGCCTGAGGCCCAGTCCATGCAATGTCGGCCCAGGGCCTGTGGTGGTTGCGTGAACCCAACTACCCTTGGCCTGTGTCTGGCCTAGTACCCGTATCCAGCCCAGGGCCTGCTTTCCATACATTCACATAGGCGGCCCAGGTCCTGGATTCTTTCAACCAACTGGCGTTGCGCAATTGCCTTAATTTCCTTCAATTGCGTGGGGCCTGGAAAAAGAGGCCGAGAGGGCCTGTCGAGCCTGCCTTCACTTAGGGCGACCGACTATGCTGCAAAGAGGCCCCTTGAGGGGCTTATCGGGGTGCCTGCCTCGCATTCCCTCCTCCATATCTTTGATAGTCCTCTGAGAAGATCAACCTTCAGTGATCTGGCGCTTTCCCTTCTGCAGAGTTTTCTCATATTGAGCTACGATCTGAGGAGCGGTCTGCATGAGTTCCTCCCTGGTAAACCAACGATCCTCCTTTGGATCCACATGATGTCTGAACCGAGCTCGGTACTGCAGCTTCGGTTTCGGAGGACGTCCCCTGCCTGTAGGTCTCTGAACTGGCAGCTCCCTGTGGTCGACAATATCATCAATATCCACTTCTTCGTCCATGGTTGGGGGCATCATTGAGTGTCGCGATCCTTGAATGGTGCAAGCTTAGACGCGTGAAAGACTGGGTAAGTGCGGAGATGACCAGGGATCCGGATAACATAAGATGGACCATCCAGATCTGTCCCAACAGTGTCTAGGACTTCCCAGGGTCCCAGTTCTGAGGACTTAACCAAGACTCTTTCCCCAACCTGAAAGTTAGAAGGGCGGCGGTGTCTATTCTCAGATTCTATCATTGCCGCTTGTGCCTTCTGCATTTGCTCTACTGCCTGCTGCATCTTCTCTTCATAGCGATAAGCATATTCTGAAGTGCCTGGTGCAGCAGTGGTCTGATTCTCAGGAAGAAGGAAGTCTAGGGGTAGTCTAGGCTTGAAGGTTAATTGTAAGCTGTTTGGGCTTACGCCTGTAGCGCTGTGCACTGCGTTATTGTCCAGGCTGGCGACGAGAGCAAGCTTCTCGTCCCAGTCCACCTCTTTGGGCTTAATATAATGCCTCAACAGGTGTTGTACAACGCGGTTCAGTTGCTCGGCCTGGCCGTTCGCTTCCGGGTGATTCCCAGATGTCATCTGCAACTGAGTTCCTTGTTCTGCGGCAACTGCCTTCCACAACTCACTAGTAAATCGGACATCCCTGCCACTAATAATGGACTTCGGTAAACCGAAGTCTCTAACCCAATTCTCCTTGAATAACTTAACGACATACTCGGTCTTTGTTGTTTTCGACATGGCTATCAATCTAGCATACTTACTAAACCTATCCACGATAACGAAGATCTGTCTCATTCCACTCTTGCTGGTGACTAATTTATCCATGAAGTCCATGGACAGACTCTCACCAGGCCTTTCCGGAATCGGAAGGGGCTTCAGGAGCCCAAGAGGAGCCAAAGTACGTGGTTTGTCCCTTTGACAGACCTGACAAGTCTCCACGTACAACTGGGCATCTTTCATCATCGTGGGCCACCAGAACCTCTGCAGCAGATTAGCTGCGGTCTTCTTGTACTCAAAATGGCCGGCAGCATCATGACACTCTCCTAAAGACAAACTACGCAAAGACTCTCTATTTGGGACGCACAATCTTTTATTCCCGCCTTCTCAAGAAACAGCAAGCCGTTGACCAACTCAAACTCGGCTGAAGTCTTTTTGTCCTTCGCCTCGAGTCTGCGTATGATCTCAGACATGCACTGATCCTCGCGATAGGCATCCACCAAAGAGCGAGTAACATCGTCCGTGAGATCGAACTCGGTCATCAGCGCACCTGAGAGGTCAGGTCTACGCGACAAGGCATCAGCCACCTTGTTGTACTCCCCTTTGAGGTACTGGGGGTCGAAGTCATACTGCTCAATGACTTCGAGCCAACGCTTCAGGGCGTCAGAAAGTACATGCTGAGTTCTCATCCATCTCAGGGTCTGATGATCAGTCCTGAGGATGAAGAACCTCCCAAGGAGATAGTGTCTCCTATGGGTCAGAGCCTTGTACACGACGTAGAGTTCCTTCTCGTAAGTGGACTTTGCCAACTTCTGAGACGACATCTTTTTAGACATGTACTCGACTGGCCTAAACTTTGGCCCCTCCTGTTGCACAAGCACGGCGCCAATGCCATATTGGCTGGCATCCGTGGTAACCACAAATGGCTTATCAGGATCGGGAAGTTTCAGAACCTCATAGTGCGTCAACACATGCTTCAAATGTCTGAAAGCAGCCTCGCACTTGTCGGTCCACTCCCATGGGGTGTCTAGGCGTGTCAGATCAGTCAAAGTGGCAGCCACTATGCTATAGTTCTTCACAAAGGTGCGGTAGTAGCCTGTCATCCCTAAGAAACATCTCATCTCAGTCACAGACTGAGGACGTGGCCAATCACGAAAGCTGGCCACCTTCGCGTCATCAGGTTTCAACCCTTCCGCGGAGATCTCATGACCCAAGTACAAGACACGGGTGCGGCCAACTCGCACTTTTCCCCGTTGATCTTGAACTTGTGCTGACGCAGGAGGCTAAGGACTTTATCCAGGTGTGCAGCATGCTCCTCGACAGTCTTACCAAAAATAAGTATGTCATCGAGGTACACGACGACAAACTTATCTAAGTAGTCATTGAATATTCGATTCATAGCGTGCTGAAAGATGCCAAGAGCATTGCAAAGGCCGAAAGGCATCACCACAAACTCGTACAGACCGTACCTGGTCTGAAATGCGGTTTTGTGTTGATCCTCGGGCCGGATTGCAATCTGATGGTACCCGGACTTCAGATCTATCTTACTGAAGTACCGACACCCTTGCACTCTATCTAACAGATCGTCGATGCGCAGTAGGGGCTCTCTATTCTTTCAAGTGATGGCATTGAGGCCCCTATAGTCAATGCACATCCTAAGAGTAACCCCCTCTTTTTAGGTACGAATAGAACTGGAGACCCATAAGGAGAGACACTCGGCCGGATCCAACCCTTCTCTACAAGTTCCTTGTGTTGGCGGCGAAGCTCATCAAGCTCGACTGGAGACATCCGATAGATCCTACCCTTCGGAATACTAGACCCTGGGATAATCTCTATCGCGTGGACGACCTCCCTCTTTACAACCCTTGTCGGCTCTTCGAATAGATCAGGGTACTTGGCAACTACTCCCTCTATCTCCGGCGGCATTTTCACCGGCTCGCCTGCAGCAGAGACATAGACTAAATACATACCCTCCTCCTGATTTTGCTTATAATAATTGTAGAACGCGGCAGCATACATGCACCCATAGGACTCAATCAGACTACTAGCTTTGAACTTATGTAATCTGGCGGTCCCTCCACCTGGCAAAGTGTGTTTTACCACTTTTCGGTCCCAGTCAAACTGGGGCTGTGCCACAGAGAGGTAGTACATACCTAGCAACATATCCATTGGGAACTCGTCACTTACTAGGAACGAGACACGATGTCTCAAGTCCCCTCCCGCGTACGGGAAACAACACTCAACATCCTGGAGGTAGTTGTTAACTACCATGCGCTGTTTGTTGGCACAGGTCGACTCCACGTCGACTCCACAGGTCGACTCAGGCGCTGCACTCGCCCCTGTAAACGCAGACTCTCAACGCACGCGCGACTGATAAAGTTCCTTGTCGAGCAAGTGTCATAATAGGCCCCGGCCTTGCGGCCGCCAATGACTGCGTCGCTGACGAACATCTCACCCTTCGGGGCTTTGACTAGTGTCATCCAAGAAGCTAGCGTGTCTGATCTAGACCACTCCACCTCTAGCTCTTCTAAGGACTCAAACACATTCATCGAACAGAGGCTCGATGGGTCTGAATGTGCTTGCGGGACGATGCCGGAGTTAGTAGCTTGGGCCATCTCTCGAGATGGTGAGGGTGTCTCCACCACCTCGACCCTAGCTGGAACAACTACAATTCCTACTGGCCCGACATGTTTCCCGGAGCACTGCCTGAAGTACTGGCAACGTTGCTACCAACGGGTTGAGAGGATCCCAACACTTGCCCCATCGGAGGCAGGATCTTTTCGGTTACCATCTTGTTGCGGCACTTGAATTGGCTGTGGCCATATTGACCACAACGAATACAGGCCTGCCGAGAGTAACGGTCTCTCCACACGTCCTCAGTGAGACCCGCCTTCTCCCATGGAGGAGCGTTGGGGTCAACTTGACTCCTAGACCGGGAGCCTCCCCGGCGTCTACCGGTCGCCTTACCTTTCTGAGTTACGACAACGACTACTCCACCCTCTGAAGCTTCTACGCTACCTGCCTCTGAACCTACTCCCTCCTGGAAGTTGCCGTCCAACTTGATGGTTGAACCATCGTTGTCGACAAACATGATGCGACCCTTCGCCTTCCAGTTAGGAGGCAGTGTCTTCTTCCTCCCATCCGTAGTGGGTGCCTGTCCATGGCCTATCTTAGCTTCAAGGTCTAGGGCCACCTTACTGAACGAAGGAAAGTCGTGCATATTGATGTTGGCCTCTTTTGCCAACGGGTTCCTGAGAAGCTGAGAAAAGCATCTCAAGTACGAGGTCAGCAGGACCTGGGGGCCATAGCGCACCCCTGGGACACAGATCAGACGCTCAACAGCGTCGGTGGCTTCCCTTACTGACTTAAACTGCCTCGTGTGCAGTGTCAGGATCGCATCAGTGGCCCTTTGAGCCTCCTGAGGATCGCACCACCTCTCTTTCACCATCTTCAGGAAGTCATACAGTTTCTGGGTGGCTGCCCAAGCGCGGAAGCCATGACCATATCCCTGGAGCTGCACTAAACCGCTCAACCATCTCGCTGCACTACCCTTTAGGTAAGATGCAGCCACAAGCACTTCTTCGTGCGGCAAGGTAAGTTTGCACCTAACGTAGACTGGCACTGACCTCAACCATGTGTCGAGGTCTTCGCCTCTCTTGTCCCCTGTAAAAGATTTGGGAGCGGCGATGGCCGTCTTTGAAACCCACTGAGTTTGTCCCGGTCCCTGCACCACTCCGGGCTGTGGACCCGGTGACACAGGCTGCTGTGCTAGCTGTTGGGGCTGCGTGCCCTGAGGGTGCACAGACTGCGAGACAGCAGGCTGTGTGGTGACTGCAACCTGCGACGGAGTTTGGGTGTACACTGTCTCAACAGGAACCTGCAAACTACTCCCTGCTGTTACCCCTCCTGAACAGCGGCATGCCCAGGGAAACGATAGCAACCGATGACAGGGCTACATATGGGGATACCCCTGTCACCGGTGGGACAGAAAAAGGAGGATATGGCACGGGCCAGGCACCAGGCCCAGCTGGTGATGTTGTTGCCTGAGCACGGCCTGCCAAAACGGCTAGGCTCTGTTGGATATCTTGCAGGATGGTAGTTTGATGCTCCTGCATCTCTATTACGCCTAGCAGGGCCCTCCTAACTACCCTCACATCATCATCCATGTTCGTCAAGTCCATCGTCTCTAACTCCTCTATGTCTGCCCCTCTCCGCTGCATCATGGCTCCTTCTCCGCTTTTCTATCTCCTAATGCCCGCTGTAGCTGTGCCTCCTGCAGGGCTGCCTGCTGGATGGCGACATCCTCTGGAGTCAACACTGCTGCCTGGCTTGCCATAATGCCAGTGGACTGACTCACGGTCTGCGCGACCGTTCACCCGACGGCACCTGAACTGCTGGCTTGGGAAGTCTGCTGCGCAGAAGTGACCATGGCGGAAGTAGCCATGGCCGCTGTAGCACCGGCCTCGCTAACTAAAGCCCTGCTGGCCTCGGTTGCTCTAGCTCTCCTCTGCTGCTGCTGTCTCTCCCTAAGCTGGCGGAACAAAATCCTATCACCCTCCGGTCCTAGGGACACGTGGGCTATTGGGCGTCTAGCTGATCGCAAGATCCGGTCGTCCAAGTGTGTGTCCTCCTGGTCGTTCATAGGCTACAACGCTGTGCACCGTCTACACTAGGACACTCTAGGTGCCTACCGCAACATAATGCTCAGACCAACTAATTAGTTGGTGGCTATTTTGGAATAGCCTATCAATTGAGGTCAACAGGTTAGTCAGATTCCTACAAACGAAACTATTTTTAGTTTAACTAGTCCGCAAACAGAAGCACCAGGAACAAGAAGCAGTTCTAACTAATGCTGTCTGTCCGATGTCAATGGCTGTACACCTAACTAATCAAAACATAAGAACATAATCATTTGTGTGGATAGGACAACATGAAATTTTCTCGAACTTATCACCTGGAATCAACCCCTCCCTTAGTTCCCCTGAGTATCACTTGACGTCAGCGTCCCTGAGCGATCTGGAGAGCGTCGCGTGTCTAAGGGTGTGTGTCCGGCCCACCCCTGTGCCCCGAGTATCCGCTGAGCTGGCCAGCCTTGCACGTATATTTATCCTCGGCGTGCCGCGAGCCTTACATCACTGGCTGATCCAGAGGCATTTTAACGTCCGCCCCCAAGTGACATCAAGAATTATTTTACGTCGCAGCAGGACGACGATCACAACAAGTGATATCCCCTTCCCGTGTTTATTTATAGACGTCGGGTGCTCGTCTTTCCTGTAGGGTTGGCCTGCCCAGTAGGACCCATCTAATAGCGAAGCAAGCCGAACAAAGGACAAGCAGCAAGGCATGCGTGCTCTACTCCCTGTGGGTTGGCAAGGTGACCGTGACCCAGTGCTTCGTCCAGGGCCCTTCAGAAAGCTCCGCCCATCTCCAGCCAGATGCTCCACGTGAACATTGCCGACTCTCAAGGTTGAGCGCACTCGACACCTCACGATGAGAGGACTCTCAAGAAGGAACACACAACCTCACGGTAAGAAGTGTCGGAGAGGGAAGATAAGGTTAAGAGCAACGTACCTCAATTAGCTGCCCCCAACCACAGAGATAATCTCACCAGATGACCAAATGACGATTGCGATGACCAGTCACTGCATCGGCACAACCAGCATTATCTCGCCGTTCCACCTCAGCATCAATCGCACATTAGATAGCTCTCATCACACTGTCCAGACCACATTATCCACTCATAGCCTTCCTGGCGATCCCCTCACCTCTTGGGTCGCCACAACAGTCGTCTCCACCCTCCTCTCTACACACCACTTACGGCCAAACTCGCCCAGCAGACCGCATGTATGTACCGCGTAAGGCAGAAGACAAGCGCCAGATGAGCGCAATCGTACCACAGCTCCGATGCCAAATTGCAAGGAAGATGAGCAATAGCGAACTTCAACAATCAAACAGCAGTCCAGATAGTCTTGACCTCGAACCAACAGCAGAATTGCATCACGAGATTCACCAAATAAGAACACACCAAGAGTTCATAATTGACAATGCTGAAATAGTCCCATCATCATCAACGAAGAACCAGAGTTGATATCCTATCTGGCGCTCGGCGCTCAGACTACATGTGGCAGATCCTATCTAGCCTATACTACAAAGCCGAAAGATGACGTCAACAGCATTCCCGAAGTACGAGCATATGGCGACCAATGTCGCACGCTTCCAGCACCAGGTATGTCTCGCGCTACACTCACAACCTCGTTCCCCAACTCACAGATGCCACTAGCACCCAACGACCACCCTGCGCCTCACCCAGCTTACAGCAGCGCAGCTCGGCTTTGGCTGCGTGCTCCTTCCCTGCTCGCCTGTGAGAGCGTAGGCGCCAGCCAGCAAATAGCGCAGCAGCGCTTGTGCAGCATGCAGCCAGCACCCGAATGCCGAATGAGGAGGCAGGCCCTTTGCTGTATCCAAGTAGCCTGCCTGCGTCCAGTCCCAGGAAGCTTCCAGTAGGCCCCGGTAGCCTGAGGCCCAGTCCAGACAATGCAGGCCCAGGGCCTGTGGTGGTTGCGTGCGCCCAACTGCCCTTGGCCTGTGTCTGGCCTAGTACCCGTATCCAGCCCAGGGCCTGCTTTCCATACATTCACATAGGCGGCCCAGGGCCTGGATTCTTTCAACCAACTGGCGCTGTGCAACTGCCTGAATTTCCTTCAGTTGCGTGGGGCCTGGAAAAAGAGGCCGAGAGGGCCTGTCGAGCCTGCCTTCACTTAGGGCGGCCCACTATGCTGCAAAGAGGCCCCTTGAGGGGCTTATCGGGGTGCCTGCCTCGCACATGGAATCTGACCTGCAATTAATATAGGACTGTCTGTGTATGTAGGTTCTGCCGCTCAATTGAAAGCTATGAAACAAGTGTGCAGGTTAAACTACAACTAGCACAATATCGTAAAGTAGCTGCTCTTTTCTTTTTCGGTAAGATAGAAGACTGTGCAATCAGACTCGCTTTCTTTCCACTTCGCACACATGCAAACAGATGGAGACTCACACGGGCACAGGGCGCCCACTCAAAGCTTAGAGATATGGAAAAAATCAAGAACACAGTTGAGATGCAAGTTCTCTTCAACAGGCTATGGCGCATCAGCGCCTGAACATCCCAACCTTCGTCCCTGTGTCCAACCCCACTGTTCACGCACGCTCACTCTGGATCACCCTGAATACCACCACACACATACGCTATGTCTACTTCCTCCTACAGCGGCTATGGCCGCACTACCACTACTGATTATGGCTACGATCTCCCTTCAGCCCACTTCGTTTTCGGGCAACCTGCAGACCACCTTCGCACACGACGCTGTAGTAGCGCTTCCGCATGGCTTACGCAGCGAATGAATGTATGGCTGAGCGCTGCCTCTTGATTTATATTTCTGTAACTCGTTGGTCTGCCCCTTTCCCTCGGCCCATGGTGCACACAGTCCCTCTTGGTACTTGCTGGACTGGAGTGGGACTGACTGGACCGGTACCGCTGACTGCATGGGTTTGCACTGCCAACTCCATGCAGTCGCACTGCCGACGTAACCCAGTTGGGCTCACCACTTGCCCACTTGCCTCTGTCTAAACGTGAGACAAACTTCGAAAGGCTGCTTCTGGAGCTTCCGGAAGTCTGTGGGCTTGGCCTTTCGGGTACTGTAGCAGCTACAACCTTGACCTTTCAGAATGCCTATAGCTACGACCTCTACAAAGCTGTGACCCCTACTCGACAGACCTACAGATCGAATCCCTACATCTACACAGTCCTGCAACAGACGAACAACAACTAACGAAACACAGGTCACGGGTTCGAACACTCGGGGGTCAACTCGATACTGTACATGGGTAAGATAAGGTCTGGGGATCGAACCCTTGAATCTGCATCTGCATCTGCAAAGGTGAAACCGTTTCAACTGGCCATTCTCCACGTCTCAGAATGTGATATTCCAGAAAAGAAGAGCAAGAGGGGAGGAGAGAAGCAGTGACGTTCTCTGTTCCTTCCATCTCCCCCCGCAATCATTCACACTTTTCATGCATGTAAACAGTAGCGCAGCATTCACACTTTTCATGCATGTAAACAGTAGCTCAGCAAACTGGCGACATGCGCCCACACAAAACTCAGAGATATGGCATCCAGATACGAGTTCACTTTCAATTGGCTATGGCGACTCAGCGCCCAAACAACTCACTGTTCACATACATCGGATCACCCTGGATATCCCACACGCGACTCTCTGAACTCACACACACTAACTCTAGCTATGGCGGCTATGGCCGCAACTACCCTATCGCTATGCTACGCTCCTCTCTCGCCCACTTCGGCTCCGGGCTCACTGCAGACCTCGTTGCACAAGTCGCTGTGGCAGCGCTTCCGCATGGCTCACGCAGGAATGAATGAATGGCTGGGCGCTGCCTCTTGATTTATACTTCTGAAACTCGTTGGTCTGCCCTTTGCCATCGGCCCATGGTGCTCACAGTCCATCGTGGTACTTGCTGGACCGGACTGGGACTGACTGGACCTTACCGCTGACTGAGTGGAGACTCACTGCTAACCTACCGAGGTCGTACTGCAATTGCACTGCAGTTTAGTTCACCACTTGACTCACCACTTTGCCCACTTGCCCAGTTGCTGACATTCGAGAAGGGCGACAGCTAAGACTTCTGGAACTCCCTAAGACTTCTATTCTACAGATCTACAGATCGAACCCCTGCTACCTACGGACCTATGACAGCCTACCAACTGTTTGTGAATACACAGGTCACAGGTTCAACTCTCGGGTCTACAAAGGTACTGTACACAGGTAGGGCAAGGTCTAAGGATCGAACCCTGGGATCTGCGTCTGCTACTGCAAAGAGGTGAAAACCGTTTCACTCCCGCCGTCCTAAATTCGAGGTCCTCCGAGAATATTTCAGTCCAAGGCAGGACCTTTACCCTTCTTATCACGCTCATAGGCTCTGAGGATGTCGGGAGCTGTTCTAGAAGTTCTGTTCTAGTAAACCAGCGGTCGTCTTCCGGTTCCTGATAAGCAAACCGGACCTTATACTGTTTCTGTGGACGACCTCTACCTCCTGTCCTGAACACATCCTCATCTACAATGCCGTCAATGTCATATCTTCCATCCATATCCGGCGGGATCATGGATCTTCTTGAAGGGAACTGTTGACTTGTGACACACAGCAACAGCTTTGAGGCATGGAATACAGGATAAGTGTGGAGGTGTGCTGGAATCTCTATGGTGTAGGACGGCCCATCCTCTCCGCCTTTGACTTCTAGAACCGGCCACGGTCCTCTATAGGCAGGCAATAACTTCTGCGAGATGTGCTCCTCAAGTTCATGTGCTCCGATGGTTCATGTGCCCTGAACCTCCTAGTTCATCAGTAGAATTGCCTTGTTTCCCCGTTGTTTCCAACCCCTTAGTTCATCAGTAAGATTACCCTAATCCCTGTGCTTCCCAGCCCCCTTAGCACATCAGTAGAACTACCTGATTCCTGCAAAACCCCTTAGCTCGTTGGTAGGATTACCCTGTTCCATGTGCTTCCCAGCCCCCTTTGCACATCAGTAGAAATACCGTGCAAAACCCCTTAGCTCGCTGATAGGATAACCCTGTTCCCTCTTACTCCCCGACCCAGGCCACCCACATTATACCCCTCTTCCTTTTGACATGTTGACGAGTGATCGGCCCCGTCACATCCTTCACAGACTTCAGCATTGTTTCATGGCTTTTGGCAGCCGGGACGTTGCCGTCTAGAGGGAGGGAATAGTATTACGGACTCAGCCAGGGCTCGATCCCTGGTCCGCGGGGTACCACCGGCCAGCCTGCTATTTTATTTTATTTTATTTCTATTTCCTGCTCTTCGGTTTCTGACTGTTGGCGCCCGTTTTCAAATCCCTCCTTCGACATTTGGCGCCATCCGACATTCTGGCGCCCAGACTCAAGACTTTCGATTCTCAGTTCAGTCCTGAGGCAATGGCACTTCTGCCCTCCGGACTGAACTTGAGTCCAGTACTTGAGACCGGACTCAAGCCCAGTACGGACATTCAGTTTTCGGCCTCAGTGCTTGTGCTTCAGTGTGACTTGCTTCGACATTGTGTTCGGAAATCCAAGACTGCGACTTTGCAACTTTGCCACCTTGTGTCTTCGTCCGTCGAGTCGTGTCAAGTCTGCGTCGAGTTGAGTGAGTGTGTGTGTGTGCTCTCACTCTCCCTCTCTCTCTCTGGCTCTGCCTTGTCACACCCATGGCTGTCTCAACATGAGCTAGGTAGCCCCAGCTATGGCTACCAGCCCTCACAGCATGAAGATGGTGCTGTAGGTAAGATAACGCAGCACCAAGCAGGGCACGACCTCCAGCAGCACTTCGTGGAAAAAAAACGACGAGACAGAACCCGTTTTTCCTTGCCCTCCACACTTTTGTAGGCTGCTGTTTTCCCTCACTCGACAACCTACAGCCTAGGAACGAGACAGCCTATAGACAAGGACCAAATTTAGACCTAAAATTGACAAAAAGGAAGGGCAGAAAGGACATACAACTCAAGGGCAGAAAAAGGACAAAACAGAGAGGCCCAGTGGCTCTACAACTGCCCTCCAGAGACTCTCACACTCAGACCTCGTGATCGAGCCCAGTCAGGCTCACACATACAAAGAAACACACAACCACGGTACAGGTCACGGGATCAAGTCCCGCAGAGCTCAAAACCAGCCAAAACAGATCAAAGTAGTGTACAGCCCGCATAACACTGCAATTCATTGCACATCGGCCACGGGTGTCAGGCTGACACCGGTACCACTTCGGAGGCCGCCAGTTTTTCTTCTCTACGGTGCCCCACCCCCACTGGCCCCAAAATCTGAAGTTGGTGACGATGAAATCTATCTGCAAGCCTGGGACCGTGTACTGGTGGTTTGAGAGCACTTTCTGGGTTCACCTGGTCCCTCTCAACTCCCGACTTGTCCACAATAACATCGGTGACTTTTTCAAGCAGTGCCGAGTCAACCTCAGCCGTAGCGGCTCCAGATGTCGTCCTTCGTGTAGATATCTTCCACATATTCTTCCTCGCCGCAAAACATAGCGAACAGGAGGCGGACACCCGTGGCGCACACAACCTCAACGGAAATTCCGAGCACAAGCCTGGACATGCATCGAATTGGTAGACGCCGCTGCTGATGTCGAGGAAATACAGTGAGCACTTGCCACCTAGTGGAGCGAAGCTGTTGCTGCGCTCACCGTCTCTTTAACTAGGCCATCTTCGAGCAACCCCAGCTATGGCGTTCTTTTTTTGCTTCTTTGTTTATATATATCACGGCACGGACAGAAGGGCTGCTTGCTGATGGGTTTTTTGCATCGGCGACATCAGGTGTTTTTTGCTGTGATATGTAAAGTCCACGACACCTGGTTTTGTATTATCTATGGGATTGAGCTCCATGATCGGTCTCGCAGTACAGCTTGGCTACAATCCAACAGCGCCCTCGGATTGTCCCATGTCTATCGTTTGTCTTTCTCATACTCTTGTCCTTTCTTCTTTTTTTGCTCCTTTCTTAATATATGTCATGGCACGGACAGAAGGACTCGACACCTGGTTTTGTATTATCTATGCGATTCAGCTGATTAATCAACCTCGCAGTACAGCTTGGCTACGATCCAGCAGCACCGTCGGATTGTCCGATGTGCATCATTTGTCTTTCTCATACTCTCGTCCTTTCTTCTTTTTTTGCTTCTTTGTTAATATAAGTCAAGGCACGGACAGAGGGGCTGAGCGCTGATGGGTTTTTTGTATCGGCGACATTGGATGTTTTTTGCTGTCATATGTAAAGTCCCCGACACCTGGTTTTGTATTATCTATGGCGTTCTTTATGTTCACTGCAACTTGTGCATACCACCTGGCGAGAAAATCCTTCCCAGCCACTGAAGGGAACAGAGGACACGCGCCAATTTAGAGATAACTCGACAGCCAGAATTGAGAATAAAAATTGCCAAAGCTGGGGTACTGCTGGGGTACTCAGAATCTTGCGCACTGTTGCGGTACCCCCCTTCAAGCTGGAAGGCCGAGCCGTCCATTTCAGGGCGCATATACAGCCACGATTATCAGAGGAGGGGGGTCGGTACTGGTGGATTACAAGCCACAAGACGCCACCCTATGGCTCATTGCATGCACGGCAGCTATCCAATGGCTCACGTGAATATTTTGTGTCTCCTAAGACTAGCACGAGGGAGGCATGTTGAACAATTCAACAGCTTATGTGCGCCATCCACAAAGGAAATGAGACGCATGGAGAGAATGGAGGCAGACAGGGAGTATGGTATAGGTGGAAACAGGAGGGTTGCCTTTTTCAGCAAAGAAATGATGGATATATGACTTACCTTCAAATTCTGCTTGTGTCTCCATCCGAGAATTTGATGCAGCCTCTTCATCCACATGATATCTGGTTTCCTGCGAGCATTAGGCAACCAAACCATAGACAGTCAGGAGAAGAACAAACCTGCGACTCATCAGACACTTTTAGACTGGCCATTTATCAGAAAAACTATTCCGAAACTGCCACTGCAAACATAACACCTGACACTGATCTACAGTTCTTTGTGCCCAGGCTGTAACAATGTTCCTATCAGCTCTGGATGTCGCTCTGGCTCCTGAAAATCCCAATAAAACTTACATGCTGGGCCTGGGGCAGAAGAGATGTAACGATGACAAGAGATATCTGCCTCTTAACAGCTGATTCAAACAAACTGTGACCACAGTTCTTAGTGGCAGCTCAGTAACGGCATTCCAATGAGCGGTGGCCTATCTGCCTCTTAACAGCTGAGTAAACCATGACCACAGCATGGCAGGAAAGACCCATCCTTTCACTACCTCCACCCAGAAAACATGGGCATATAGTAGGGACAGGAATAACAATCAATAATCTGAATTTAACCTATATAAGCCCAGTGGTGCATTAATAGCCTGAATAACCATCCTTCCACTACCTCCACCCAGAAAACATGGGCAAATAGTAGGGGACAGGAATAACAATCAATAATCTGAAGTTAATTTCTATAAGCCCAGTGGTGCATTAGGAGAGCCTGAATAACCAGACCTTGAATTGTATTTGACTTCACATTAAGACTATATCGGCCAATGAGAGAAGCCCTGAAAGTCCCAATTGATATGGCCAGCAGCCCCGAGGGTCCCCAATTTACACAGCCACAGCACATCTTGAGCACACCTTTGAACGTCAAGTACTGATTATCTGCCACCAATCAGTTGGAAGAAAACC